TCTACAATTGTATTAAACCCCACATACACGATAGATTTCTTACAATACCACTACAATTATCATATTACCAACGCACTGTTATACCATCTGGAAAAGGTGGTGTAATAATTCTGTGCGGTCTTAACTTCTCTATATTTGAATATAGGAATATAAAACTTAATTTGTTGAAGTAGCAAATGGTAGGCCCTCGGATCCAATACAAACGGAATTATTCACATTTAACAACTTTCATCCTCGCTTACAATTGACACATGAAGACGAAACAGAAAATAAAATACCGTTCCTAGACACGCTTTAAGACAAACAGATGGCACACTTACTACAGATTGGTAACAAAAACCAATGAACCCGGACCGCTACTTCAATTATACGTCACATCCCAGCCTACACACAATAATAAGCACGGGTGAAGGATCAAGAATCATATCCCTAAGTCTAGAATCCTTTCATCAAAAAAATATTCAAACAGACAGACGAATTTTACATAACAACAATTACCCTAAAAACATAATTAACAGAATCATAAACAATTACAACCCAACACTACACAAAACAACATCCTCAGTAAGGGGGCGTCGGTGGCCGCAACGGTGTAGGCATTGACTCGGCGCTCATCACTGTAAAGCCAGGAACACACCCGATGCTACGCCATGCGATGTTACCCGACGTCTTGACATGTTTTGGTGGGGTGTGCACATCTATCCGACGCAAGCACACGTCGCGTACAGTCCACAGCGTTTACCACAATAATCACTAGCTCAATCGCAACGCATCTTTTGTTCTTAATGCACTATTTTGAGCAAAACCTTGTAATAAATTGTTAGTTAAATTTTATGAGCACAACCATCTAATAAATTGTTTGTTAAACTTAATTGTTTTAAATAAAATTACTCCTAAACATCATAATTAAACAATGTTTATAAAAACGTATGCATTTTTTATCTCGTTTAATTTGGTTTACATTAAAATAACATGTTGTAATTAATACAACGACAAAATTACATGTACTTAGTTTGAAATAAACTACAAAAAATATGAGTGTCCTGTTCTGATGCTACCCGACATTACAAAATGGTGTAATTTTACGAGCAAAACTATGAAATAAATTGTTAATTAAATTTTATGAGCAAAACCGTGTAATAAATTGTTCCAATTTTAGTATATTACGTCAATAAATTGTTAGTTAAATTCATTATATCAAAAAATCCTATTCCGGTATTTTGATTAATTTTCCACCAAACCATTAAAATTAATTTTTTAAATAAAAATAATTAATTTTTAATCACAGTTAATTTGGTTTATATTAAAATAAGTATGTTGTAATTAATATAACGACAATAATACATGTAGTTTGAATAAAAATATGAGTGTCCGGTTCTTTTGTCTTCGACTGTACTCGATGCGACCCGAAGAAAATCTGGACAGTGGGGATCGCAGTGCGTCGGGTAGGTTAGCGTGGCATAGCATCGGGTAGATATGCACGGGGGTAATGCAACCTTATGGAAAATCGGAGTTTGGATTTGCGTCGGGTAGCATCGGGTAGCGTCGCATGGCGTAGCATCGGGTAAGTGTGTTTCTGGCTTAAGGGTGAAGATCCCGGGTTCGAATCCAGCGGCCCTGCATTTGAATCGGATATACTTACAAATGAGCCTCTGCTGTTGCTAGCTCTAGTAAAACAAAAGAAAAAAAACATCCTCAGTACACAATATATATCCACCAGTCACATAAAGACAAACCAATAAACTTGTCTATGTCATTCGTCAATACATTATCATACAAATTAAGTGCATTTCTCTTACCAAACCACATTTACAATAGCTATCAAAAACCACAAAAAATCCACACACTTTTTTCCAAATTCAAAGACCCAACACCAACATACTACAAGCCCGATGTAATTTATTAATTGTACGAACTGTCCAGCTACATAGAGTAGAATTACATCATTTACACCAGAAACTAATCTCCCGTATTGGCCTCACGCCATTTTGAAAAAAGAAACATATTGTTTTCGTCAAAATACAAACATTAAATTAATCCATATTTGCTTAGTGGTCATAATATACTATATTAATTATTCCAATTAATTATTCTTGTTCATTTCAACAAACAATAAAAAGAATAATTTACAAATTATTGTAACTTGGGAAAAAACGCAACTTGTGGAAAAACGCAACTATCTAGAAATTGTTTAGATTAACAGAGCCGCAGCATTAATTACAGAACAAACGTCATAAAGTAAATAAACTATTAAACTTTATTTTTTTTATTTCTCTTTCCTTTGTAACCTTTCATAATAATTAACTTACTTTTACAATATTGGTAACTGTGCCCATTGAATGAACCCGGAAACACAAATCCAATCCAGAATATCCCCATTCTCTTCTTCCTTTGAGTCAAATAAAACCGCCTGAGATGAAAAAATTTCGCAGATTTACCGCTTTCCCCACCCTGTCATAATCATATAAAAACAGCAGAATACAAGTTCACGTTTCACAACAATTTCACGAAACATATATGAGCACAAAAATAGCACCACACTTTATGTGACTATGAAATATTTGGCTCAAAATTTAAATTATTTACATCCGTATACTATGATTAATTTTACAAACAACGTATGTTATGTAATTCACCCAGCCCCTGAAGATGATCCGAATAAAGGTCGCATCGTCGCCGAAAAAAATGAAAAAGGTGTCGTTCTAATATACTTTATTCCTGACCGCTTCTCAGTGCTTCACCAAATTATAGAACAACCGGTTGGTAAATAACATACGTCAAAATTAATAAGTCAATGACAAATTAAACTCCTTCTCTTGAAGGTCCAATCCAAATACAACTTGCCAAAATGCAAGAATATACAACGATAAACATCAAAGTTAAATCAAGACTAATCCAAGCCATTCTAGATTAGCTATTCCTTAAGTAACATGATAAAAAAGGATTCGAAGGGAACATAAGAACTTGCTGAAGAAATGACTTTGCAGAAGGAATACCTTACCTCGTTTCTCTGAACTACTGTTCCAAGAGCCAGGACAAAAGGAGACGATGCCAATACAAAAGACCACCTTGCTGAATAAATTCGTCTCACGGGTTATAAAGGTTAGGCAGTGATGGAAGTTATGGATGGAATAGTCAGAGCTTTCTTTTACCAAGAGGAAGACAACACCCAAAACAATTGATTTTGGAACAAAGTTAAATTACAGTATAAAAATTAACACAAAATAAAGTTTACCCGTCATTAAATTGTTGAAAAGGAGGTCCATGCTGAGAAGAACGTCCCAGAACACAGGTTTCAGTCGAAGGATACCGGAACAACAACCCGTAGCAATAACTTTCCTTTTGGAAGTGGCAGAGAATAAAACTTCTTGATGTCGTCGATGCTAGTTCCCCGAGGTAAAGAAAAGTTGAAATTCCCGGGCTGCACCGTCCTGCTTAACTCCTCCGATCTTCGCCCCCTTTTTGATCGGAAGCTTTGAACGTTGTAAACAAATTGTGTGAGGTTCAACCATTAGCAAGTCCTTCTGTCCTACTGCCTTAAGCGCTAGAGCGTATAAGATTCGATGGTAACAAAAAGATTATAGACTTGTTGAATAGGATATTTTCGAGTCTCTTTGACCTACTGGCCTACGTGCTTGTGCATAAAAAATTCAATGTCAATAAAAACAGACAAACGTTCTAATAAAGTCGTCAAGTACGAAGAGAACAAATATAAGGAACTAACATTTTTTTTACCAAAATTGGCATACATAGGTAAAACCAAACGTTGAAAACATACATGCCCAAATTGGAAATTAAAAAGAATATAAGGAATCTACAAGCTCTTTTGGTAAAAGAAAACTATATAATTATTGTTATTAAGATAAACAAAACAATAAACCTACATTGCTGCTATGTAATGGCTTTTTTATTTTCAAGAAGTTTGATGCAAATGATTTACAAGGCCATAAATCTTCTAAGTGGTTGATCTACCTTTTGATTTGAAAGCTGATAGTAGATAAAAATAAAGTTTCTTGTTATTATGATTGAGGCGCCCGAGTATCGACCTGGAATGCATACTTCACCTCTTTTTTCACTAGGTTGGCTCGTGTTGATTATTTTCGATTAAAGCTTTACGTTGGCCGTTTTCTGACCATTGTTCGTCTTCTAAGGAAAAGTTTTCTTGGCTTACCAACATGACAAACCTCTAGGAGAAATTTTTATTAACAATTTAACCACGCACCGTTGTCGTTCTTCTCGAAAACATTTCTCAGGAAAATACGAGGATATCAGGAATGAGGAATGAGGGATGAAAAAGGAGAAATGAGGAAAAAAGATAATGTAAAATTGTACAGTGTCATTCTGCTCCAAATGTGTCTGGGAGTAAGAGTAAGTTATTAGCGAGAATGGAGTGGGTTCAACCCCGCCCCGAGGAATATCGAGTTATATGGAGGAATGAATATGATCCGACTTCCGTGTTTATGGTGATGCATCTGTATTGTACGTTTCGTGTGTATTCTGTAGTTGACAACCTGAGATATAAACAAGGAACGACCATTTCAGTATATCAGCTTAGTTTTCATAAAAGCAGACAATCGCTGAAATGGATACAGATTGAAAAATGACCACAAAATAACATGCAGGGGACCGCGGTAGCCGAGTGGTTAGCATGAGAGACTCTCACGCCGCGGTCGTGGGTTCGATTCCCACCGTCCCCTCTGGCCCTTTTTTCACAATAACCCCCCCAAATTTGATCACACATATATGAATTGTCACATGGCTAATATGCATAGTTCATAACGAAAAAAAAAAGAAAAAAAACATGCACAGGGCCGGATGTGGGCCGCTAAACTTCTCAACTATTATTATTTTTTCAATTTCATCTTTTAAAAAAAGGATGAATTAACACACTGCAAACAATATAGTGGTAGTTAATGAACAAAATTTCAAAATTATAAATCGTCGTATTAAAATGCACCTTCTATTCTCGTTCCCACAGTTGTTAATATAAAGTTAAAAAGTCATAAAAAATAAATGTATTATTTATTTAAACAAAAAATAGAAACCTATTTGTTAGGTACATATTTTTGAACCCATTCTCTCAAAGGGTGGAGGTCTGTGTAAACCGATGGGTACTTTTTGCACTCTCTTGTCCAGGAATAAAATCCGACGAGCGTGTTCCATTCGTTGTGAAGTGGATCTCCAAAATCGTTCTGGAAACAAAAGACAACTAAAAATCGTTTAAAAAAGAAAATAAGCCAAAAAACTACTTATTTAATTTAGTGCCTCGAAGCAATATGCACATCAATTTCTAAGGAATATGACAAAAATTATACGAATTGATTTATAATTTTTATGTACAATATCTTGTGTATGTTCGTATATTGTATGACGGACCGAAGTCACGGTAGCTCAAAGCAGCAGTCGGTTAAAGCAGCGGCGATTTAAGCCAAAGGTCGTGGGTTCGAGTCCCGCTCGTCACTCTAATTTTTGATCTCAAATCACAATTTACATAAAAATAATAAATCAGTTTGAATAATCGTTTTGTTCAGCTATGACAAACTAACCTGTACATAGTGTCCTTTTTAGATGGCCCGGCTGAATTTCTCTTGAAGCAATGGTGTTATAAAAAAATAAATAAATAAATAAAACTACATGTTTAATATTTTTTAGTCAGGATGTATAGGGTCGTATTTGAAATTTTGAAGTTGAACTGGACCTGAATACCCTGTATAATTTTTCTCCAAAAAAGGTAAAAATTTGAAACTAGACTAAAAAAAAATATTAAATACGTGTTATTTTATTTTTTTGATAGACATCGGTTCAAGAGAAATTCAGCAGGGCCATCTAAAAAGAAGATTGTAGGTTGAAAAAAATTACTTAAATCTTTTGTTACCTATCAATATCTTTTTATCGAAACCAAAAATATATATTTCAGTTATAGTATTCTCTGATGACGTACCCAACAAGGGGCGTTGACGGCATCACGCCAGGCGCACAGCATCCTTTCGCTGAGATGATCTTGTTTGTATTTCTTGTGGCATTCACTTTTACTTAGTACTGTCAGCTCAAGTTTTTTGAACTTGCCTTGACTCCCGTTCTGTGAAAAACGTTGTAGAATATAGCATCATTCTACAGAGAACTTAGTTACAAATTAGAACAAATATGAAGCTTTACGTTAAGTCTATTAATATAATAAATGTTAAAGTCGATTCATATTAATAATTTTTTAAATTCACTATTTTTCGTGGTCCGCTTGACCAATTAATAACATTCAATTAATTAAGGTTTTAAGTTGAGACAAAAAGTCAGTGTCACGAGAGGGATTCGAAGTCACGATAGCTCAAGTGGTAGAGTAGCGGCGTATCAAGCCGAAGGTCGAGGGTTTGAACTCCGCTCGTGACACTGACTTTTGTCTCAACTTAAAACCTTAATTAATTGAATGTTATTAATTGGTCAAGCGGACCACAAAAAATAGTGAATTTAATGAATTGAACACTTCACTAAAGCTCTCCGTGGCCATTTCATTTGTCGCCGAGAATCCAATCCGATTAAAAGACATTTGAAAAATGGCAAAAAGGAGGGAAAATTCAAAAGGTGGGGTTGAGATGGGAAGTTAGTGCCCGAGGGGATAGAAGTCACGATAGCTCAAGTTGCGGCGTATCAAGCCGAAGGTCGTGGGTTCGAATCCCGCTCGTGACACTGACTTTTTGTCTCAACTTAAAACCTTAATTAATTGAATTTTAATAATTTTGTTGACCAGAATTTTTTCACAGTTTTATGAAGGAAATAAATACACTCTCNCACTGTCGCTTTTACTCTCTCTCTATCTATCTTTCTTTCCTTTTATCTATCACTTTTTCTATGTAACTGAGATATAGAGGAAGAAAGATGAAGAGGCGACGAGAAAAGAAAAAGATATAACGAGGATAAAGAGGTAGAGTGAGGAGAGAGACGGATGATGAATATAATAAAAAGAAAGAGAAATAAAGAAACAGAGAGGAACAGAGAGAAAAAAGAAGAGATAAAGTGGATGATAGAAAAGAAGTGAGGGGGGTAGAATTTACACCAGAAAAACGGACTTCCTTCCATCGAACTAATTAAAGTTAAAAAAATATCCTTTCTCTAAAATGGTTCATTTAGAAAAAAGAAAGGAAGCACATGTCGAATATTCATTTAAGTTTGTGTTGAATGATTGATGAGTTAAAAGCGAGAGGACAGTCGCCAGTCCGGTTATATTGGTCAGCGGAAGCGTCAGATGCAAAGACGGCAATATTTTGCATTTTATTGGCCCTGTCCTTTGTCGAATGCATAATGAAGAGGAACGCTCCGGGGGGTGGGGGGTTATCTTATCTATTTGAAAGTAATATTTTCGTTAACATTAAGGACAAAATAAATTTCCGCCGGTTTACCCTTTTTAATTTCGTTCGGAATGCCGTTTCTTTACCTCGTCCTCACCCCATCCGGAGAGGTACACTTTATCCTTCGGCTGGACACGTCTGTTCGCTAATCTTATCGGCTTGACGCGTTTGGTTAACGTAAACGGCTTGGATAATTCCAACACGGCCAGGTCGTAATCGTTGTCGCTGATCGTAAAATTTGGGTGAATTACTAGGTTTTTGACATTTCTCGTCACGCCGTCTCGATCCCTTTTATCGCTGCCTGCCCTCACCAAAACATCGTTTGGATCATACCTGGAAGAAAAGAAAAATCATTATTAAATTTTTTTTTCTTGTTTAAAACGTCATACCCAGAAACGCAAGAGGCGATCGTTAAAACCCATCCAGGTTTAACTAAAGCTCCAGAACAGGCGAAATCCCCAGCAGTTTGAATCGAAACCTAGATTAATTACAATATCATAAACATGTACGGTATTGTGATTGATCACGCGCATCCATTATCAAGGATGTTTGTTTATGTCAATTAACGATTTTACATCGAACGGTGTGATATTATATTTCAAAACCTCCTTGAAATCAATCACCGCTTTGTTTTTATCTATATCTTTAAAAAGATATCACATACGTACATTTTTTCTTTATCTTCTATCCATTATTGTAAATAACACCATATTATGTGTACACATTGTAATGATTATTACTATGAATATTGTTAGCAAGACGAGCTCTTTTTATGAGTAATTACTTAATAAATATTTTTGTACAAGGATGGTATCCGTATACAAATAAATGTTATATAATGTATAATACAATGTATAAATATTATATGTATAATAAATATTATATATGTGTGTGTGTGTGTGTGTATGTATTATTACCTGGTATTGCCGCGAATTAACTGTAGTATTGGTTCCCCCATGAATAAATACATTATTTAAACTGCCAAAGCCAAAACAACTGGTTGAACTTATCAAACATCCTGGAAACAATTATTCTATTAATCTTTTGCATTTTATATTCAATGTTTACGAGATAAACATTCAGATCATCACGTTCAAAGCATAGAAAATTCAACTATTTGCCCTTAAAAATACGGTAATTTATCTGTTAAAATTAATTTTAACATTCACAATTTTAATAATATAATTATTTGGTAAACTGTTTGCGATTTCCGACATATTTTCTTTGCATTACATACATAAAGACAGTAAAACGTTTGTTAGTACTATGTAATGGCACTAGAATATATAAAAAAAGCAGCGCTTTCAAAAAATTAAATGAATCCCTTTATATATACTTATATATTGCAATATGTGTACAGTGTGTATATTGCGAATACAGCCCAAAATTAATCCCTTTTAAATATCATGAACCTTGATTAGCATATAAATGCACAAAAAATAATATACCAGGTATTGTTATTATTATTTTTTTACTTAATTGGGTATAGTACTGCATGTAATATATACAGATTAAATCTTACCAATAACTAATAAGAACATCATTTTTTAACCAATGGTTTGATTAAACTGACAACCTTTCAATAATGACCACCTTATCACTTATAATTGAATAATCAAATAATATCGTCTGATAACAATTTGAACGTTTATAATACGAAACTTACAAATAAAACCTTGGAGATATGAAATATTTGTAAGAATTTGATTAAGAGAGTCATTAAAAATAGATGTCCAATTATCGGAGAAAATGAGAAAAACAATAAAAATGAAAAGAAAACCCTATTTACAGTTATTATTTATTAACTAAACACCAGATAGAAGTATAGTTTGACGTAAAAAACTAAACAGTCATTAATCTTTAAGATAAAAAATAAATTTAAAAAACATGAACCAAAAAAATATTACTCTTCTCACTCGTATACGTTATTAAAAAAGGAGGGAAAATTCAAAAGGTGTGGTTGAGATGGGAAGTTGATGTCCGAGTGGATCGAGGTCACGATAGCTCAAGTGGTAGAGGAGCGGCGTATCAAGCCGAAGATCGTGGGTTCGAATCCCGCTCGTGCCATTGACTTTTTACCTCAACTGAAAACCTTAATTAATTGTAAGTTATTAAAAAAATTGAATAAGAGATATGTATCCTAACCCTATCCCTACCGAGCATAACCTTGTTCTAATCAAAACCAACCTAACGTAATTTACCCCTAACCTAACCTTACCTAACATAACCTAATTCTAATCCCTAACTAACCTAACATGTTCTATCCCTAACCGTACCTAGCATAGCCTAACTGTAATCCAAACTAACCTAACCTTCTCTATCCTTAACCCTACTTAACTTAACCTAACCTAACATTACCTAACGCAATATATGCGCAAAAATGGCAGAGCAAAACATTATGTATCCAGCCGAAAAAACATTTTTACAACATTTTAAAATAAACAGAATACCATGTTTACAATTATATTAACTTAGCTCCACAAGTTTAATTGACCCAATATTTTAAGTGTACTAAATTAGCGTGAAATATCCACTTACCTGCGCCAAAATAACGTAGGCGAAACTATAGAAATTCATTCATCGAAGTATTGAGTTATTTATTCCAAACGAAACCGATCTATTGTAAAATTTAATAACCTATGATCAAATGATCATTTTCCAATTTTTGCATGTTTTATTTTTCACTTACGATGCGTGTATCTAACGATGTGTGTCTAAACAATTGACTGAGATAAAGTGATTTGAATTGAAACGACATTTCATAAAAAAATGTCAACCTGGCTCTAACAATAAGTAATTCACCGAAAGCCGGTTAATGCTTATGGTAAACTGGGAGTTTTCAATCATCGAATTATCCACGACGTTCGAAAAATATTATTAACGTCCCATCCCACAAAAGCCTTAAAAAGGTTGCTTTTTCGTTTCCCTGAAAAATAAAAGATTTTAATCCAAGTATCAGATTTTCCTAATGGAACTTTTTTTTAACAAAATGTGTTGCCTGTAAATAACTGTTTTTTAAAGAAATTTTTTAAAATCCGATGTTACTTTGAAGAATAATGCATCTTAAAATAGGATAAAATTAATTATAAGTACTTAAATATTTTAATGTGAGATACGTCCGATCATATTGGTCCGCTTATTGTCGCTTGTTCGGTCTGTCGGAGTCGTTCCGACGTTTTGCCAATTCATTGGTGGGTTTGAGCTTTATTTTTGTTACTCATGTTTCTTTTATACGTTTGTAAAAAGTGAAGGGGTAAAAAGGGAAGCCATTGTCTTTGCTTTGTCGGCGTCTTTGATTTATTGAAGTATAAGTCTCGGTTTTTTCGTCGCCCGTTCCGGTCGGTTATTGTGTTCGTCAATTCTCCCTTTTTTATGTTACACAGTACTATTTAATGGAGTAAATTATGTATGTGTATTGCTATAGATTTATTTATTCGCATGTTTTCTTGTCGAATGGGTTTCGTTTATCTCTAAGGTTTTCAAGCATGTCCATTCACCCTCTTTGTTTTTGTTTTTTCGCATCGTGGAGCGATTTAACAATTGTGGGAATTATCGAGGAGTTTTGGCGGTTTAGTATGTATGTTGAATAAATTAATTATTCATATAAATTCAAAATAATTTAATGTAAATTAAATAGGTATTTTATGCCAGTCTGTCAGAAATTTCTTCCAACTCGCTGTTTTTGCCGACTGGGTTTTAGTCTTGTCAACGTTTTATCTCGCGCTTTCTTAGTTTTTCGGCCTAATTTTTATTACAAGTGTTAGGTGTTTGTTTTCTTCTTAATCACTCATAGTAACAATAAATTATTTGTGTCATTGTTGACGTGTTCATAAATTCTTTTAGGTTTTGTTTGTATTGATGTACGTTTTCAAGGATGCCCATTTTCGTTTTTTTTTTTGTTCGTCATGGTACAATTTTAAGCTTTCCTGTATTTTTGAGATTTCGTCATGATTCTTTGTTGGGAGTTTTATAATTTGATTTTCTGAGGGTATCCCCATGATCATATTTAGGGATTGTTAGGGATGGAATACATACAAATGTGTCGGAGTTGGATTCCCAACTTCCCTGGCTATTCCCCTCCTTCCGTGCACAGTATTTCCTAGGTTGCTTTCTTTTTCAGTCCATCCACACTCGTCGTCCTCCTTACATCATCCAACCCCTCCAATTCAACTCCTCACATCTCACTCGTAAGAGCCGCTCATCCCCAATCGACCTTATCCTTCCGCAAAATACAACCCATACCTTCGAAAGATCCTTTTTGATCCGAGCCCCTAAACTCTGGAACTCCCTTCCTCTTTCTATTCGTCACGCTGCCTCCTTTTCCTCCTTTAAATCCTACCTGCATAATCACCTCCTCTCCCTCCAAGCAAAGACCTCACGTTAACATTTGTTATTTTTGTTTAATATTCTCGTAATTTTTTCTTCTGTCCTGCCTTATTGGTATACATTGTGCCAAGATTTCTATTTTTTTTATATTAAATTAAATTAAATAACATTAAAAATATTAATCAATTTAAATTATTATCTTCTGCGAACAAAATAGTCATATTCATCTAGATTGTAATTTATTGGAAGAAATTGCAACTATTTGGTGCTAAGTAATTACTATCTATCTAACATATGAGAAATATGTTCATTTTTTACAGAATAAAAACTATGCCGAACGTGCCACGTTATTTTTCTTCTTCTTCTTCTTCATCATCTTTCATTGTATTATCTCTTTCGAAAGTTATTAGACACACTGTTTTTTCCTAGAGTTGATGCTGGGTGTTGGTCTGCAAGTCGGTGAACATATGCTCAACCGGGGAGAACCACCAACAAAGTTTATTGAGTCTGTCTTCACTTATGTTTGTTGAATTACTCAAACGCGTTTCGGCATTGCGCCATCTTGAGCGAGGAATAAGTTTCCCCGGTTCAGCACGTTTTTGCCTAGAGAGATAGGCTTGTTGATGTTTCATTTTGGAAAGTTTCCAAGTTGGTTCGTTGTCTTTAGTGCAGTTTTTAAGCCTAATTTATTGAACAGGTAGTCTACTGTCCGAATCTTTTGGTTATTTGATGTGTAAGTTACATTTATACCAATTGATGCCACTACTCCAACGCACAATTTTACTAAAAAGTACAAAATACTGACACAAGAACGGGAAGAATGGGCCAAAGGAACACCGCTAAAGGCAAACTCCCACTGTTATGGTAAATATGCCACAGTTTTCCAATCTGAATTCATAGCGATTGACCAATGCGCCAGAGAAATAAAAAGGCTAGGAATACATTCCCGGAAGATAGCCATTTTCTCTGCCATCCAGGCAGCACTTAGGGCCCTGCGAGGCGAAGGCGGAAGTCAGTGACACTAATGACCTAACCCTGGCATGGGTCCCTGGACATTCGTGGCTTAGAGGCAACGAAAAGTTCGACATGTAGGCCAAAAATGGAGCCAACATGGACTCTCTGGGTACTGAACCCTACCGTGGTTTAGCAGCCTGCCACAAAAGTAGATACATTTTAAAATGAATCCTTAATCAGCCCAAAGCCTGGTGGAATAATACCACAGGTATGAGGTACGCGAAGAGATACATAGAAGGACCATCCGCAAGACTTACAAAAGAATTACTGGAAGGCAACCACAACCGAACCAGGATTCCGGTTGAACTCCTGACAGGACACTGCCACTTAAGAAGGCACTTGTACCGGATAGGAGTACAGACAGAAGAAACACTGTGCAGATATTTCCAGGAAGAGGAGGAGACCGCAGAACACATTCTAAGTTTTTGTGAAGGTCTAAATACGTGCAGGTTCTTGCAACTAGGACAAGAAAAAGCACAAGAAAGATCCTACACTAAGGAGCCGCTAGCAAAGCTGTAAAGGCTGATTAATAACCTGAAGCTGGCCAGTGAGTTATAAATAAATAACAGGGGAGCACAATAGATCTATTCAGATCGAGTTGCAGTAGGTCTTGTGACCGCCTCCTTTATCCCTATCCCGAAGTTACATTTAAGTTAAAATGAAAAATAAATAAGAGGTCGAAGATGCATTTAACGAGGAATGTCTCCAAAGAAAGTAAACACATTGATTCGTTAGATTTGTTTTCTTCCAAACAGGCGTCAACTGATTAGTTTATAGTAAATTCAAGAACAGACATACGGACCATCAATCTCTCCCGGACCTTTTGAATAAATCCGTTTCCAATTGCCGTTCTCCCCACCCCCTATTTCGTTCATTCCTTTTCTTTCAACCCCCCTAATTGTTTCCTCTGAGATTTATCTCGTTGTCCCTTGTTCTTGTCCGCAAGTGATGGATCACGTCGGTAAAACAACGTCTCATAAAAGTGAATCATTACGCGGCTTCCCAGATTATTTCGTGAGGCGGAGATGATGTCTTATTTAAACAGACGATATTTTTTCTTGACTGCTAAAGCGTTCCTTTTTTGCCGGCCGACTGAAAAAAGACAAATTAAATAATATATCAGGCTTGAAACTGGCATCCTACATTAGCAGCGAATTGTTTACTTTATCTTCATTGGATAGTTTTTATTTACCTATTTAATTTTTTAAATTTAAATAAAATCTAGATAGTGAAAGTCATAAAAATTATATCTATATTA